AAGTAGCTGATCGAGTCATCTCTCTCAAAATCTTCCTTCTTACCTTCCCAGCATATGCTCACCTAGATAGCTCAGCACATTTTCCGAGCCTACCAATCTGTCAAGTCTTCCATCTCTTCGAGGTCATCCCAAGTAACTCTCCACTTCACAATGTGCCTGCTATTGATATGCTTCTTCTTGTGTTTGTTGGAAAATGCATTGTATTTTCATTGTCACTGCACTCTGGTATTTGCTCACGGTGTATTCATGCAGTGTATACCTCCCACAGCAAAGCACCGTTAAGATTTTCAGTTTCTGGTTTGATTTATTCTTGTGTTTGGTTTTTTTTGGGGGGCTATTTTGGCACCTTGCAGCTTCCTAAGAAACCAACTTTTTGTTTGAGTTGCGATGGCAAACATTTAAATAGTTCTAGTGGCCTTGGGGAATCAGAACCAAAGTTGTCAAAACATACAACCAGCTCTCTACAAAAGCCTCTAACAAAACCCCAGCTTGTCTTCACAACAGTGTAAAACCACACACCACACAGGCAGTTACAAGGTCCACTCAGGACATGAATCAAAGATGACAAGAATATGACAAAGTGCTGATGACCATTTTTAGTGGTGAGCAATTGATTTTTTTTTTTTCAAATCTCTCTGCCATTTATTTCCTTTTTAAAAAATTATTATTGAGGTGGTTATTAAAAACTAATAGCTGTGCTGCTTATCCTTTATTTTTGCAACCTCTGATCTATCTCCTTCCATGTAATCCTGCATTCTCCCTACAGAATAGCCACCTGAAGAACTGCTGGCTGGTCTCAGACAATAAAGTTTCTCCTGCCCTGAGCCACGTCAGCCCATTCAGTAATGCTTAAACTCCTCCATCAGGCAGATGTTATAAATCAGTAATATCCATATTTTACGGAGGAGAAAACTGAGGCAGCGAGTTCTTTGCTGGAGGCCAGATAAGGAATTTGGTAAGGTTAAAATGTCATTGTTCTTAGCCATCTGCCCTCAGGTGTTGTGTGTACAGGGATATGTTTTGAAATAGGAACACTTACTCCTGATCTTATCAAACTGAGACAGACACCACATTTATCTCTTCATATTATTGCCTGTATCATAATTTTATTATCCACAGCTGATTAACCCCTAGCACTGTCTGAGCTGCAGGTCCACAGAGTATTTCCATCTCTACCTGACACTACCTGCCATTCTCCTGCACTAAGCAGATGAGTTTATCCACTTCTTAAAGTCATCCCTGGACCCACTTTGGGGCAAGAGGTAAGAGAATTTCTGTGGTTTTCTGAGATCACTTCCAGCTCTGTTGTCTGTATTTCTGTTAATGGTGCTGGCATGCTGGCTCTTTGCATCTTGAAGTAGGGACTGGAAACCCTGGAAAATGGAAAAAAAATTACACAGCAATCTCATCCTGCCTTTGAGGCTGGCATGAATGCCTGCAACATATGGGCATAAAAGATAATATCTCACGTTTTGAGAGGTCCCATCCTGGGCTAATTCTTGTACTGTTTCAGCTGACAGAGTGTAGCAATTTTAGTTTTGACGACGTTAGTGCAAAACATACTTGCTTTTCTTACTACATGAAAGTGGCACTGTGCTGACCAGAACTTTCCCACTAGAGTTATTTAATTTCATCCACTTGCAATGGAAAATTGGTTTTCTTCAATTTAATATTTTCAGGAGAAAAACTTCCACTGCTGGAAAACATTGATTTTTCCCTCAAAGTGGGGAACAAGCACAGGGTGGGTCTCTATTTTAGAAGTGTAGTCACAGCAGAATAACAAGAAGCAATACATTTATTTTTTTTTTCTAAAAATATAGTTTTGTTTTTGTTTTGTTTGGCTTTTTTTATTATTATTTTTAAAAATATGGTTTCATCTTTTATCTTGCGGTGGATGGAAGGGGGAAGCAGGTGTTCTTCAGCTGGCTGCGTAACCTACAGCATAGCTCCTAACCACCTGAGAAAAGCACATACAAATGCAAAGCAAAATGAAAAACATGAACAGAATTGCAAATGTACAGCGGGACCATGAAGTGAAGGAATCCTGCAGAATTTCTCCTCAGAGGAGCAGCTCTCCTTGTAGATCTACTCCTGCAGAGATTGTCTGGGAGGGGGTTTTTTTGGTCTGTTTTTATTCCATTTCCTATGTCTTCTTGCTGACTTACTCCAGCAATTTGGGAGGGATGTCAGGGGAAGACTGCAAGACTGGGAGCGTGATAAAAGTAGGACACACGAGAAAACTGATACGCGCCTCCTCTTTCAAGACCTGGATGTAAATGGGAAAAGGTTAATAACGCTATCACATGGCAGTTGCCCAAGCTGCCAGCAGCTTGTTGACAAAGCTTGGCTCCGCTAGCGAATTCAAGGCGTCTGTGTTTTGAGTTCGTGGCACCTTTTTGAGAGCTCAGGAAGTGCAGAGTCAAGTTGCATTTCTCAAACCAGCACCCAGATTTAACTCCTTGCCCACACAGACTCCAACCCACAGGTCTGGTTGCTCTTCGGGTAAATCGCTTTGCCAAGGCAAAACAAACATACAGGCACCAAGGCCTCTTACAAAGTCCTCATAAATATCAGCTACCTAAATAATCTGTTGGGAATCAGGACAGCAAATGCTTTGTATTTCTGGATGTGACTACACAAGTGTGAGGCAGGAGGGGGAACCTGACACGCAGGGGATGAAAATCCATGGATGAATGGCAGTTCTGGGTTCTTTCCCCTACATCTCTAATGCAAAGAAAAGTAATTTAGAAATGGAGGAGAAGGAGGGGAAGGTGGAAGATGAAGTCTGTGTAGTACCTGGATCTTCTGTTTTAGTCCTAGGTGATAAGGTGGGAGAAACAGAGGAGAATGTGCAAGATTTTAGAGCAGTCAGTGACATTTACGTTCCTATTCTGAGTGTGATATGCTTCCATTTGGCCCCAGTCTCCTGTGGTTTGGTTGCTGCAGCTTCTCTCCCACTCTGTGACCCTGGATAACTGATGAGCAATTTGTTGATGAGATGCAGTTGCTGTGTAGGGCTCCTGAGCCCAGGAAAGGGATGTGCTTGGAGCCCTGTCCCTGCAGCAGGTGAGCTGATGTGATGGGAACCAGGAACGCTGCTGATGGTTTCATCAGTGTGATCAAGCCTGGTAAGTGGGTGTTTCCTGCAGGTTCTGCTGCTGCCTCCATGTGGGCATGGTTATTTTGGAAGCTTTAAAATAAAGATTTTAATGAATGCATCATTACCTTATCTCCTACCCTGAACAAGCAGAAATCTGGGGTAGAACACAGAGAAGTGGTAGAGAAGGCTTGCACTCTCTTGGGTGAGTCAAGTTGGAATCAAGCAACTCAGGCTGTAGTTTCAGCTTTGCCCTGATGTCTTTTTGTAATTTTTGGTAAATCACTTTACCTTTCTGTGCTTCTGTTTCTGCTGTCTTACCTACTTGTAAATTTTGCAGAGCAGCCATCGACCGGATGACCCAGCAAACCCGGAGAGCTCAAGCATAATAAAAATCACTAAGCCAGTCCTTATGGAGAGGCCAGGAGGGCTGGCTCCCCACTCTGCGCCGCAGGTGTGACACGCTGTCTCCAGGAGGTGATACCATCACTGACATAATTCCCAAGGAACTCGCTCTGGTCCTGGTGACTCTAGAAGAGCAGCTTGCTCAGCCCTGGGACCTGAGTGCCCTCTGCTGCCGTCTGGGACCCAAGGAAAATAGTCCCACCTTGTTTTTGATACACACATTGCCCCAGTTCTACCCCCCCGCCAGGGCTTTCCCCAGTCTGTTCCAGCACACCCCAAACCTCTTTGCCACAGCAACTCGCCCAAACATATTCTCTCCCAGCTCCTGCACCCCATCCCACAGCCGCACGGGTGGCTGTCCCAGTCTGTCCTTCCCCTCCATGCCCCCTCCCCAGCTCTCCACAAGCACCAGTCTCCCAGCTCTACCACCCCCCAAAACATCCCATGTCCCCAGATCACCATCCCAGCATCTCCCTGTGTCCCACACCAGTTTCATGGGCCCCTCTGGCCTCCCCTACACCCCGTCAACACCCCAGTCTCTTTGCACCAGTGCCACCACTAACCCCTCCCTACACACACACCAGTGACCCCAGTACACCTTCTCACACCCCAGTTCCCCCAAATACCACCTCCCCACATACACCAGCACCCCTTCCCCACACACCGGAGCCCCAGTACCACCTCTGCACACACCAGTTGTCCTAATATCCCCCTCCCACTACACACCAGTACCCTCCTCCCCCAGCACCCATTCCCCCCATACAGCAGTATGCCCCCAGTACCTGTGCCCTACACAAACCAGTAACCCCTAGAACCCACTCCCCACCTACACCAGTACATCCACTCCCCCTCCTGCCACACCAGTGCCCCCAGTATCCCCACCTACCCCAGTACCCCTCCCCACATATACCAGTACCCCCAGAACCCCTTCCCCACATATACCAGTGCCCCCAGTACCCATTCCCATCCTACAGCAGTGTCCTCAGTACCTGCTCCCCACACAAACCAGTATCCCCTGAACCCCCTCCCCACATACACCAGTACATCCAGTCTGCCTCCCACCACACTACTGCTCCAGTACCCCCTTCCATCCCAGTACCCATCCCCACATATACCAGTACCTCCAGAACCCCCTTCCCCACATACACCAGTACCCCCAGTACCCATTCCCATCCTACAGCAGTGCCCCCAGTACCTGCTCCCTACACAAACCAGTACTCCCCAAACCCCTTCCCCACGTACACCCGCACACCCACTCCGCCTTCCACCACACCACTGCCCCAGTACCCTCTTCCATCCCCATTACGCCCAGAACCCCTTCCCCACATATACCAGCGCCCCCAGCCCCCCCATACACCAGTACTTCCAGCACCCCGTCTTCCCTCTCACCAATACCCCCTCCCCGCACACACCAGTGCTCCCAGTGTCCCGCCTCACCCGCCTGGGAACTACAACTCCCGGCGGCCCCCGCGGCCGGAGCCCGGGGCCTGGGGGCGGAGCGGCGGCCGAGCAGGCAGGGGCAGGCCGCGGGGGGCCCGGCGCAGGCCGCGGGGGGGGCCGGGGGAGGTCGGAACCGGCGGCCCCCGGCCATGGAGAACCCCGCGAGTAGCGGCTCCCTGCGGGGTGAGATCGGTGCGTGGAGGGGTGGGGTTGATCTGCCCCGGGGAGGGAGAGATGGAAGCTGGTTTTAAAGTCGTGTTTTGAGGGGGAGCAGGGCGGCTTGGGGGATGGACGGGGGTGATTTGGAGATGGGTACGGTGATTTTGGGGGGATGGGCGGGGTGGTTTGGGGGTGGCAGGGTGATTTGGGGGATGGATACGGCGATTTGGGGGATGGACGGGGTGATTTGGGGGACGGGGCGATTTGGGGGATAGACGGGGTGATTTGGGGGTGGTCAGGGTGATTTGGGGGATGGACAGGGTGATTTGGGGTTGGGTACAATGATTTCGGGGGTGGACGGGGTGATTTGGGGGTGGATATAGTGATTTGGGGGTGGGCAGGGTGATTTGGGGGATGGATGGGATGATTTGGGGGATGGATGGGATGATTTGGGGTGGGCGAGGTGGTTTGGGGGATGGACAGTGTGGTTTGGGGGGGAGGGATGAGGGGGATTTGGAGGTGGGCAGGGTGGTTTGGGGGATGGACGGGGTGGGCAGGGTGGTTTAGGGGATGGATGGGATAGTTTAGGGGATGGACAGGGTGTTTTTGGGGGTGGTTACGGTGATTTGGGGGATGGATGGGGTGGGGTTTGGGTGGGCAGGGTGATTTGGGCATGGGTAAGGGTGGTTTGGGGGATGGACAGGGTGATTTGGAGGTGGGTACGGTGATTTGGGGGATAGATGGGGTGATTTGGGGGATGGACAGGGTGATTTGGAGGTGGGTACGGTGATTTGGGGGATGGACAGGGTGATTTGGAGGTGGGTACGGTGATTTGGGGGATAGATGGGGTGATTTGGGGGTGGGTATGGTGATTTGGGGGAGGGACTGGATGGTTTGGGGTGGGTACGGTGATTTGGGGGATGGACAGGGTGATTTGGGGGGAGAGTGGCTTCTCCCGAGGAAAGGGATAAGAGGAAGGTGAAGATGCTCTTGGGAGAGCCCCAGCTTCTAGGCGTGGGGAATTATTGTTCCTCCACCAACTGATGTGCATCTGTGATGCGAAGAGGCAGTGTTGGGGAGCTGGAGGAGAGCGGGGAGATGACAGGTGGGAGCCATGCAACACCCCGAAGGGTCCAAACCCTGCCTCCTGCCAGGTTACCTCCGCAGAGCTGGAGGTGACACAGCTGCTTGCCCAGCTCCTGAGAAATCCTGTGCCTGGGATGGGGCACAGCAGGCCGAGCCGGGCAGCCTGCCCCGCACCAAAAACCATCGCGGGTGCAAGGCTGTGCTGCACGGCCGGCTCCCCTGGTAGGGCTGCTCTCTAGTCGCATTGGGAACCGGCCGTGTTCCCCTGCGTTGTGCTTCAGCTGGTGAGGCAGAGCTGTAAGTCTTGAGCGATGCTGTGCCCCAGATTTAGGAGGTCTGGCCCTGGCTGCGGTCTTCCCTCCCACGCCAGAACCCCGGGCGCAGCCGGTTGGGGCTGTGGGAGCCCCATCCGTGGGGACTGATGATGTTATCTCTCACTTGAGCCAGCCACATAAGGAGTTGTGCAGTAGGAGAGAAGAAATTTAAGGAGCCTGCAGTTTGCAGGTTTTTTTGGGGCTATATAGTAAGCCCTTAATGAAATGCTGCTGGAGCTGCTTTTTCTCAGTCCTGTTGGTGACAAAGAAGTGCTGCTCAGTGGCTGGCAATTCGAGAGCTCCATCCTCATTTGGTTTTCTTGATTCTCCTGACATACACCGTGAGAAGCTCCAGGGAAGTAAAAACATCCTGCCCAGAGGTATTGGCAAAGGGCACGAGGATCTAGCAAGCAAATAAAAAAGCCTGCACGTACTGTGTGCTGTGAAAATGCTGGTACTTGTGATTCCCTTTCAGGGGGTGGTTTCAGTCCACCATACACCTTAGCATCACGGTATTCTTTGGGACCATTCCACCTTGCATAACCACTGGCTCGTGTTGACATTTACTGCTTTATGCTGGTAAATAAAATGCTGTGTTTAGGGATGGAGAGAAGGATGGTCAGTCCAACTGAAATACATGACAAGGTGTTTTATTTTTTCGAAAATAAGGCCAATCATCCTTTTTCTCCCACTCCACAGCCGTGAGTGCCTGCCTTGAAATGGGGGTCTTACGGAGACATAGTCAGAGGGGAGGAACTATAGCTGTGAGGTCTGTTTTGCCAATGACTTTTAGTATTGACCTGTATGCAGACAGTACCATGCTGCTCCTATAAACCCTGCTTTTGTAGAGCCGGTGTTTTCACAGAGAGGATGCATTTATCTTGCTGAAGGTTGTGTGAAAATGTGCAGGGCTGTTCTTTACTTATTGCTTCCTTGAAAGCCAAACACACCTGAGAGGAGATGATATTATCAGTTAGTGCCTGGAAGCTAAACCCAGGCTTGCCCCATGTAAGTGTAGATGCTCAGCGAAGGCATCGAAGCTTGAAACTTAGTTGTCAAAGTTCCGCTGACTTTTTGGGAAGACAGTTTTTAGGTGGACTGAGTTGCTCTCTGGAAGTGTCCTGTTTCCAGTGATTTCACATGGAAGCAGAAGGGACAGTGCTCCTAACACTAAATAGTTAAGAACTCGCTGTGGTGAATCTGGACCTAATGAATGCTGCTGGGGGTTTGTGTTTGGATAAAGTTTCAAGCAAGTACAGCAAAACATTTCAGAAACTGTAAGAGAATCCAGCATTACAAACGGTCCCCGAGAGGGCAGCGGTTAATGGGGAACCCACAAACATGTAGTGCCTGATTTAAAATCACGTGCTGAATGGGGGGGGGCATGGTGTGGAAGAAGCTCCTCGTTCCCAGCTCTCTCTTCTAGCTGCCGGCCGATGTTCCCCATCTGCTTTTCTCCAGCACAGAGACCCATTTGCTCTCCGTGTGTGGTTTTATTTATTTACTTATTTATTTATTCTTTCCCCTCTAGGCTTCTGGGCTGATCGAACACCAGTTCATGAAGCGGCCAGGCGGGGAGAAATCCTGCAGCTGCAGCAGCTGATAGAGAGCGGAGCCTGCGTCAACGCGGTCACCTACGACTCCATCACCCCGTTGCACGAGGCCAGCCTGCGAGGGCAAACGCAGTGTGTCAAGCTCCTGCTGGCTGCAGGGGCCCAGGTGTGTGTTTGGGTCTGATCCAGCTGGGAACTTCATCGTGATGGCTGAAGTTATTTCTGGAATCTGGGTTCTCCCCATCTAGCCCTGGGCTCTTCTTCATCACCCTGGGCTTTCTTGACAGTCAGCAGAGGAGGGCAAGCCTTTTCAGAGGGTGTTTGAGCTTGATAAGGACTTAAAAAACTGCCTGGAAGTATTCCCCTCTCTGTCTCTCTCTCCTATCAACGGAGCCTGGGGTGACTAGAAATCTAATTTAGATGACTGAAGTATCTAAAGCTAGCTGGCTTGAATCAAGGGGAGCAGGGGACATGTAGGTTATGGAGGGGGTTTGTATTTATTCTTTGTTTCTTCTATTTCTTTATTACGGAAACAAAAATTAGCTAAACAGAGTCTTTGGATATAGCTGGCACCGTGTGTCTTCAAGGGCTTGTGACTTCTAACACGTTGAAGACAGCTGTCCTCAGAGCAAAGCTGGTGAAGTGGAGCACGCATGCTCTCCGTATTCCTTCTGAGTGCAAAGTCAGCCGGCTTGGCTGAGCCTGCTGATGAAGCTGGGCCTTGCACTGAAGCAGCCACGAGGAGTTGCGTCATGTTGCTCAGTCACAAGGCTTGTAACCTCCAGCAGGAGGGTGGTAGAAAAATGTAGTGATGGAAATAACAGCCTAAACTTGTGACTTTAATGTACCTCCATGCCCTGAGAGCGATGGGGACAGCACAAGCCGAGTTGCTGACAGTAGCAATCAACTCTTTCCTGAGCCCAGACTATTTCTAGGGTTAAAAGTAAAAACGTAGGCAAGAGGGTATTGCCACACAGCAGCCTGCAGGTACCTAATGTTCTTTTTTTCTGCCTTGGAGGTGGATGCCAGGAATATTGATGGCAGCACTCCGCTCTGCGATGCCTGTGCCTCGGGTAGCATTGAGTGTGTGAAAGTGCTGCTGTCCCACGGCGCCAAGGTGAACCCTCCCCTTTACACCGCATCTCCTCTCCACGAAGCCTGCATGAATGGTAAGCCCGTGTGGTCTTATCTCTGCACGATTATTTGCAGATTGGGGAAAAAAAAAAAAAAAAAAAAGCAACTAAAGAAACCCAAAAAAACAACAGAAGCAGCTGCCAAGTATCTTAAACTGACCATAAGCTGTTGTTGCTCATCAGACCATTACAGCTTGCAAATATTTCAGCCTTATGTGGGGTGTGTCTCCTGTTGAACACAAAATGCAAAGTGCTGTGTTACCGAGTGAATAAAGCCTTCCCTCGTGTTGGGTGCTTTTATCCCATGTGATGGATATGGGATAAGGTGTTAGGCAGATAAAATGCCAGATTCTTGATGCTCTATGAGAAAACCTTGAGCCAAACCAGGAGCTTTGCTCTTGTGAGCAGAGAGGTGGTTGTATTCTTTCCCTCTGATCCAAATTGAGATGGGCTAAATTTTTCTGATTAAGGCACGAGACCGTCTTAATCGGGCGGTCCTGTCTCAGACCCCTCCTGGCTGCCAGGTGGGATGAAAGTGCCGGGGACTATTGGGCACCATTGCTGCCCACTCTGCTTCTTTTCCCTGTCACAGCCTTTTCCAGCTGGAGGGTCTGTCCAGGGGATAAGAGAAAACTGGGGGGGGGGCCAAAATAATGTCCCAGCCGGTGCGTGCCAGCCGCTCTCTGCTTCCCCTGTCCTCTGCTCAAGCCTCTTCTGGACATTTGGATCTGGGTTACTGAGCAGGAAGAAACATTAGGGGTGGCTGTGACAGCAGCAGAGGCAGGGGGAGCAGCAGAGGGGTATTTAAGTGTAATTCCTACCCTGAACTTCCACTTATACGGATGCAACAGCAGGAAAGCCTGGATTTGAGAGCAACATTGTCTCCATTAGATGACTGTGACCAAATCTCTTAATATTTTTGTGCCTCAGTTTCCTCTTTGTAAGATGTAATACCTCCTCTGTCCTCCCCTTCACTGTTTTTGTTATATGCTGTCCTGGACAAAGTTTCCCTTCAACTATGAAGGCTGTGGTAGACAGCATTTTGAGAAACAGGTAGTTACTTAAATACGTAGCTGTGAGCTCTTGCTTAGCTTTTCCTCATTAAGCCTTTTTTCCTAAGGCTTGATGATGATGACTGTCATATTATTAGCATTGGAAAAAGCCAAGCTGGAGTGGTCTTGAGGGTGATCTAATCCAGCCCGGGCAGGATCAGCAGCACGACCAGCTCCATGACCAACAGGCAATTTAGTGCAAACCCTTGAATTCAGGTTTGTTTGACCTGACTCCCTGCGAGAGCTGTCGACTCTAGCTCAGTGCCATGCAGATGTGACTCTATTTCTTGTTTCCTGGCCTTGGTCTTGATCCTATAGTGTTGGCTCACAAGCATTTCTATTTTACGGCCATCACCCCAAGTATTAAACAGGCTGTTTGTGGGTCAGGCTGATCTCACATGCTCCCATTTGAGCTGGATTCTTTCTTTTGACTCGGATCTTCCCTTTCTAAAGGCAGCTCAGAGTGTGTGCAGCTCCTCATTGATGTCGGTGCGAACTTGGAGGCTCATGACTGCCATTTCGGGACTCCCCTACACGTGGCCTGTGCCAGGGAGCATCTGGACTGTGCAAAGTTGCTGCTCAAGGCAGGTATGGCAGCCATAGGGTTTGCTTTTGGGTGGCAGGAGACAGCGGTGTCTGTGGGCAGTGTTTCCCTCAGTGCTTTCAGCAGGTCTTGTCAAAGAGCTTATTCATTCACAGCACGATACTGATGACAAAGGTGAAAGGTTTTGCCTTTACATGAACAAATGCTTAAGCATTTTTTCAGCGTATGCCTGTCGATACCCAGCCTGTGATGTTCCCAGTGACATTCCCATTCTTTCATTTTAATAAAACTCAAGAACTCTTCAGCCCCCTAGAGCAAAGTTTCAGCTTCTTGCCAAAAGTCGTATCAACTGGTGTACGCGTGTTCAGCTTTGGTAGCACAGTCGTATGGTTTGGGATGGGCGTTAGGGTTTGATGTTGTGCAGAAAACCAAAGATGAAATCACTTCATACCTCAGGGAGACCTGGTTAGCGTTATGCCCAGATGAGTTCACTGGATGTTCAAGTCAACGTTCTGTGCTCCAGGTTTCACATCCCAGCTTTCTTCCTGCTAACTTTGGGGGAATTTGGAGTTGGACTTTGTCTTGTTGTCGAACTTGTCTCGACTTGTTGTTGGAGTTGGATTTGCCTGTGCTTACCAGGAGGTGATTTGGCCCAGGGATGGAGATTTGTTTTGTTGAATGTTAGCTGTCTAAAAATTACGCATCTAAGCTAGCCTGTTCCCAGCCCCTCCAGTTCCCTCTTTTGGGGACCTTTTAACTGATTCCCCAGAAATACCCGTTTCTCCTTATTAATTATAAGGGGAGTTCATTGTGGCTATGCATATCTCAAAGTCAGTTATTTGAATTCAGTGAGGTTCAGCTCACCTCTGCGGAACAAATCAGCGGATAAAATGCAAGCGGTTGTGGGGGGACTGGAAGGACCTTTTGCTGTCAGCTTATAAAAGCCAAACTTTCTTAGCAAAAATATCTCTAACTAAGACTTGATCCCGCAGTAATGTCTGGTGGTGAGCCGCCGCATCTCCTGGGTCTGGGGTATTTCTGTTAAAATAGTTAACAAAGATGTCACTGTTTGCCTCGAGAAGGACCACTGCATTGAGATGAATGGCATTGCTGGCTTTGGACAGCACAGAGTCGGGAAGCAATCCCGAACTTCACACTCAGCAGCTTATTTACCAAGTAACATGGACTTAAAATCCTTTCTCTGCAAAAAAAAAAACATAAAGCCAGAGAAGAAAACTCATGCGTTGCCAGAACCGAGAACTTGTTCTGCAGTTTGGTTTCCTGTTTGTGCTGTTTTGTTTGGATCTTGTTCTAGCTGCTCGTGCGTGTTTTAACAGCTTTTTTTACTCCAGTCAAGCCACTCCTTACGTTTGGGTCAAGTAAGGCTTTCATGAACAGGTTTGTTTTTCTTTCTGCCCTCAGGGGCAAACGTGAATGCTGCTAAACTTCATGAGACAGCCCTCCACCACGCAGCAAAAGTGAAAAATGTAGATCTGGTGGAGATGCTGATTGAATTTGGAGGAAACATTTATGCAAGGGACAACCGAGGAAAGAAGCCATCGGATTACACCTGGAGCAGCAGTCCCACAGCAAAGTGCTTTGAGTACTACGAAAGTAAGTGAGATACAATCTCCTGCCCCAGAAATTCAGTGACTGCCAGCTCCATTGCACCACATCATGATTCTCTGTCCGTTTTGGTTTGTAGATCCCTGATCACCTTCCTGTGAGGGTATAGAGTTCTTGGTGGCACATGTACGCCAGCTGGCTCTGGCCTAGCTCTGCTTAACTGTGGTTGAATGACAGTGGTAGGATGGTCCAAATCACGTTCTCACTGAATTCAAGTCCCTCTTCATGCGTCAGCATCAGCATTTATGCTTTGGTGCATTAAGTCAGGTCAAGGAAATCGCCCAGTTGAAAACTCATTTTATTTGGGGCAGGGAACGTGTGTTAAACTTCAGCTGCGCTGGCTGTCTGATTCTGGAGGAGACATTTGACTGAGGTTTGAGGATGGCTTTAAATCAATCTTTGTCTTGGTTACCCTTGGTGGATCTCAGAGGAGTAATTCACAGACCCTTCTGAGCATTTGCAGGCTGCTGCCCAACGCCACTGCATTAGATGATCCTAAAAGTCATAAAATTGTAGAATAGTTTGGGTTGGAAGGGACTTTTGAAGGTCGTTGAGCCCGACCACCCCCCCTGCCCCGGGCAGGACCCCCTTCCCCCAGCCCAGGGGGCTCCCAGCCCCGTCCAACCTGGCCTTGAACCCTTCCAGGGAGGGGGCAGCCACAGCTGCTCTGGGCACCCTGGGCCAGCGCCTCACCACCCTCATTGTAAAAAAACCTTCTTCCTTATAGAAAGAAAATATTTTTCCTTATAGAAGAATAAAGTATTTTCTGGCTTTGCAATCCTTTGTGTGGTGAGCACCTTCTCCCTCTGACTTCTTTCCCCGTAGCAGTCTCTCCTCTGAGTTACTCATTATTCTCTTCAAGAGCAGTGAATGTGCTGGTCTGGCTGCAGCTGAGCTGGCTGAAGAGATTGAATCCTGCACGCCCATAAACACTCCTTATATCTTGCCAGAGTTTACTGCCCACTAAACCCAACTGGCAGAACTGCATGTGCAGTTGCTTTTCAACGCAGACTGTTACAAAAATACTGTGCTAGCTTTATTAGTATTTTTTTTTTTTTTCTGTTGATATGTATCATTAAATCTGTGACTAGATCCGGGACAGATGCAGATCTTGGAGGCTGGTAACTGCCAGGGCTGTAGGGGTAGGGATAGCAGCTTCTTAGGAATGACTAATTCCAGAGCAACATGCCCACTTGTCATTCTGTGTCTGTGCAAGGGCATCGGCACCCAGCGACGAGGCTGCAGAGTGGGTGCTGTCTGGAAGGGGCTTGGGGAGTTTTCTTGGAGCTCTCAGCAGAGTGCTGAGTGAAAAGGGTTAAAGCAGCCCTTAAACGGAGAAATACAGCCGTAGAGGAGTGTTGGAAGTAGGTTTTGTTCCTATATACAGTGTTGCTGAGGCTTAATACAGCTTCTTTAAGGGAAATCTGAAAGTCTTGGACAGCCCCAGTGGGTCCGAGCAGGGGATCCAGTGGGCACCATTGGCCTTTTTGGGATGCAGGCGAGGCAGGGAGCTGGGAGGAGTGCACTGCAGCTGGGCTCACGATTTCGGGGAGGGGGGATTTGCATCGGGATGAGCCTCGAGAGAGCACGCCCGTGGCTCTGCAGTGCCTTCCTTGGGCCTGGGTCCTGCGGGAGGTCGGGGCGGTTGTGAGCAGAGCCAGGTTTGTGCTCACGGTAGGGGGTGATGCCAGGCGTCACCCTCCTGGGAGGTCTGTGCCTTCCACTGAGCTGCAGCCCTAACTTGGCATCCTCTTTTCTCGTTTTAGAAACACCTCTGAGCTTGTCACAGCTCTGCAGGGTTACGGTAAGGAAAGCCGCCGGGCAGCGAGCGCTGGAGAAGATTGCCAAGCTAAATATTCCTCCACGATTAATCCAATACCTGTCCTACAACTGACAGGGGTGAAGGTGGCCGGGAAGGACGATATCTTTAGCTCCCGCAGTATGAAGTATCTGTCTCTTTCTCTTCTACCTCCCTCCAAGAAACTCGTTTTAATTTAAGCAAACTGGTGTAAATGGTATTTATGAGGCAGCACTTCCTCTTCTCTGTGGGCAAAGACAGGCTCAGGCAACGTGTAGCTCTGGCTTGGAGCTGTAATGTCTCCCAGGGTGCTCTGTTAGACTGTCGCTATGTTCGAGGCTGTAGTGCTTACTCTTTGAGAGGGATTAATCTTGAATAATTTCACCTCTCTCTAGCCTAAAGGCGTCTCCGTGTGATCTAGCCAGGCTCCCTTTGCAGTCAGTGAAGGGAAAGAGATACTTCTGGAGCGCGACTCATCTGTCCTGTTTTAGACACCCGTGCTGGGATGGTACAGTACGCCTTGGGAGCGCCTGTCTCCGCTGACTGCAAAGGGATTTGGAGGTGATACCCTCGGACACGGGACGCCTGTGTTTCTGCGGTGGGAGCGCTGGATCCCACCTCGGTGTTAATAACTCAAGTCGTGACTGCCTAATGCCAAGGGACGAGGTTTGAGAGACGACGTGCGTGCTCTAGCTGGAGGCAAATTAAATCCAGGTCAAGCTCAGGACTAATTAGAGGTACTGCAGCCAGCTCTTGACTTTCCGTGAACATCAGCGGGCTTTGGCTCAACGCCAGCAGTGAGGACAAACTGCTGCCGGATCAGGGTTGACTTTCCCCATGCTCCTTCCTCACAGAAGGTGAGCCAGCTCTTACTGCAGCGTTCCTCTAGGGTATTACGATGTCTAATTTTCAAGCCCAAGCAGGAAGCAGGTCTCTCTGCACGTCCAAGGATGCTTCCCTCCAGATGGCTGGTCCCCAACAATATTTCTCCACTTGCTCTGAGCCGCTGTGGCCGCTCTTGTTGGTTTTATGTGCAATAAGTGGCAGAGCTGCTGCCCAGCGGTGCCTGAAGTCCAGCAAGGGCGTTTCCCTTGTGTGGCGGCGCAGCAGGTCCCTGTGGTGTATCCCCCACACGTGAAGGGCAATAGGAGAGCTGGGCTCTGCCTTGGGTTTTGAGATTTTGATTTTTTTTTTTTTTCCCCCCCTCTGAGGTCATCTCTCAGTGCTGGAGCCTCTCCAGAGGTTGGCAGCGGGAGCAAGCCCTGAGCCGTGCGCTGCTGAGCGCTGTCCTCGCGTCCTTTGGCTTCAGCAGGCTCGACTGGGGCTTTGTGATTTAAACCTTCAGGGTGGCATTTGTGTGAGCAGCGCCTAAATCGTCCTGGTCTGCCTTCCAGATGAGCCTAAATCGTCCTGGTCTGCCTTCCAGATGAGCCCTTACGTGTTGTCTGGAGGCAGTAACCTGCAGGGTACGTGTTACTAAGGGGATGGAGCTCTCCCATGCCCCCACGGCAAGTCTTAGCACTGTGATGAGAACAAATTCCTCCTGAATGACAGCAAATGCTATGAAATCTGCTCCCTAATGTGGCGTTGTCGAGCTAACTCGGGGCCCTCCACACCCTTCGTGCCCTGAGCGAGTTGCTTGCCTGCTGCCTGCAAGATCTCGTGCTCCCCCAGCTCAGCCTTGGGAGGGAGGGGAAAAATAGTTGTAAGCACAGGGTTGAAGAGCTGAGGTGGAGCTGAATGCACTTTAATGGTGACCAGCAAATCACTTTGTGTTTTAATTTTTGGTTAGGTTCATTCCCCCAGCACCCCTTTGTTTGTTTTGTTGTTTTGTTTTGTTTTGTTGGTTTTTTTTTTTTATTTTGCTGTGCCGTACCGCATAGAGCTGGACAGCAAAAAGCTTGAGATCCTGCTCTTTGGGGGATTGTCTGTTTATAATTCTGATTTTTGTGTTTAAAGTATTAGAAATGTGAAATTGCCAAGAAGCTCAGGGAAGCCCTGGAGATGTTTATTGTGGGATTCATCCCTGTGATTGATAGGATAAAGGTTTTGTATTGTATCTTTCAAGAAAAGCTTCCTCTGCTCAAAATGCAAGTTGATACAGATAAATATGTATTAGGAAGGTGCACCTTTCAGTAACCTGGGGTGAAAGCTTTCCCTCTTGGTTCAAATTCAAATCCCTTGTTAGGTTGCTTTTTTAACATTGCCTAAGTTGGTGAAATAACAAAATGGTAAAGTCCAAATTTCCAATGTAAACACAAAAGACTCCTCGAACAACTGCGAATAAAATTATGAGTTCCTGTTTACGTCATCTTTATTTTTTTCCTCTCTTTTATGTCACCTCTCTGGTAGGTCCTAAAGTTTGGTTGTTTTTTTTTTTTTAATTTCTCTTTTAAGAGGTCCTGCTGATTGATGCATGCATCGAAGGACTTGTGGAGAGCTAAGCAGCTCTTATTTTGTGGCAATTGCCAGACTCATTCAGCAGCAGTTTTCTTAAGACATCCACGTGTTACGGCCGTTTCTGGAGGGAGAGGTGTTCCAGGAAAGTCCTTTGAGAGCCAACGAGCTACAAAACAACACCCGAGCCCTTCCCCGGTGTGCCGTGGTACTGGGGCACGGGGCTGGATCATGCTGTGGCTGTTGATCATCTGACAGGTGTTGACTTGTGTGTTTCTGGGCTTCTAAACTGCAGGTGAAAATTGAGATTCTTTTTAATCTTTTATCCAACCTGTCTAGCCTTTGGTTCTTTTAATCCTGCAGGGATTTCTTAGCTGGTTGTGAAACATCTTCTGAGCTACTGCGTTTTACAGCTCAGAGTAAAGGCCAAGTAGATGCCAAATTAAACCGGTGCGATGTTTTAGCTTCCCTTTATATCTCAGCCTGCCATTTTTGCGGCCGTTCTGTATCCCAGGAAGCCGGACCCATCTCTGGTTGCACCATCCCATCGGCAGGTATGGGTTGGGAAAAGCAGCTGTGGCTGCCCCCCAAGAGATTCCCCCTCCGGTTATTTTTGCACTGGTTGTGTTTTGTTTCTTAGAAACATAAGAAAGAAGATCTCCAGAGGGTTTGATCTTCTCGAAGTTTTATTCATCTCACCTGGGTGTTGCAACTTCTGGCCACGTAGGGTTGACTTCTCTCAGTGATGGGTTAAAAAACTTGGAGATCCCGAGCACCCAATTCACTTAGTTTATAGGGACTGAGTGTCTTTGATGTTTCAGTGGCAGCTGAAGGACCTGGGGGTTTGTAAAGACATTGGGGATTGTTGGGAATGAAAGAGGCTGTCTGAATCACAGCTATTATTAAGTGAAACTCCTCGACTGACTCTGCTTGAGTTACACCCTCTGCTTTATTTTTTAATGTCAGATTCTGGCAATTATTTGACTTCCTTCACCCTTTAATCCCAATGCCAAATCGAGGCAGGAATCCAGTGCAAACCAACCCAAACCCACCTGGCCAGTCCTGCTTTCATCCGTCCCCTTCCCGGGCTCCCCAAACTACAAACCCTGGGGAGCATTTCGGGCCATGTCCCTTCTCCTGTGGGTTTCTCCACCAGCTTTGCTACGGGTCCAGCAGCACAGGGAGCGGTCTGAAATAACCCCGCCGCTTCGGGAAAGCCCAGCTGAGCACAGGGCTTTGCTTTCATCCGTGAAAATCATCTTTTGGACAGTCAGCCTTACTCCTGGTTGCTGCTGGCCAGGCTTCTTAAAGTCGGCTTGCGAGTGGGGAGCTTGATCGTAGCAGCTTTTCTCCGACTATGTGAAGTTTGTCCAGAAAAAACAAGGTGTGGACTGAAGCTGATGCCTTGGAAGAAAGCCTCGGGGCGCTCAAGAATTAACTCCTTGTAACGCCAGCAGCCGTTGCTTTCCCCAGATGAGGTGGAGAGGAGCCACCCTGCCCTCCGTGCACGAAGGAAGAATTTGTGCCGTTGGTTGCAGCTCTCCGAGTCGCGGCGTAAAGAAGCAGCAGGGATGAGAAGACATCAAACAAAAACAGGGTTGTTGTTTTTTTTTTTTATTATTATTGTTATTTTTTATTTTATTATTTTATTTTTTAATATCTTCGGACTTTGTCCAAGAAAGCAAACCCCAGGAGCTGCCCTAACCTTAGCAGCAGCAAACAAAGACCTCAGTGTCCCCTGGAAGCTGACACCTGAAGACGAGGAATGCAGCGGTTGCATCACGTTTAGAGCGAGCGCGAACATGAAGTATCCGTTCTACCTCTTGATTAAAAAAAAAAAAAAAAAGGCAAACTAACAAATGCTGAAGACCTTGAGCAGTTACCCGAGCTTTCACACAACCTGCTCATCACTTTCTTCAGGGGAACAAGCGATCTTGCAGGTACTTGCAGGAAGGTGGTGCCTGTCCCTCACCCTTGAGGGGGAACCAGCGTAGAACGAGTTGGGGGGGGGTCTCTGCTGGCTTGTGCTGGCTCGAGGTCCAGCCTCGGGCAGCTCGGAGGCTGGTGAACATCCTGTTCCCTGGCCTGGGGGTGGCCAGGGCACTGGTTATTTTGAAATCAGGGTTTTTAAGGCCAAGGATGATGATGTTTTCAAGCTGAAAGCCAGCACCTCAATCCATAGTAAGGTAGCGAAGCACAAGGGAGGGGAAAAAACCCTCCTGATTCCTTAGGACCTCTGGAAACCTTGGCTACTTCTCCGTGGCACCTTTAGCTTCGCCTGTGCTGTTAGTTAACCCCAGGCTCTCCTCCCTGCATGCCACCAGGGACAAAAACCTCACGTGTCCTTCAAAAATACCCGAACCAACTTCCCTTTTTTACCCAACAGCGTAGATGCGGCTTGTGCTTCGGTAGGTGCCCTAGAACTGCGACACCCCGAAGCTGCTCTGCGTTTAGGCGCCGAGACACCGGGCTCAGGAAGCCTTGACCTCCGTTTGGAGAGAGCACAGCATGCTGTGAAGATGCTCTTTGTATTTACACCTGCTTGTCTGATTTTTTTAATGGTTCCTGGCACGCCGTAGTGGTAAGATTTGGGCAGGTGCGAATGCGCTGGCGTGTTATTTGATTAAAGCTCCCTCTGAAAGGCTTCATCGGTGTGTTTCTTCTGTAGATGGTGGTGGTCGGGGTGTGGGGTCTACGCGGGAGCCCTGCCAGATCCTCTTCCTTTGTCAACCTCATCCCTAATTGCACTGAGGCTGCGGGCAAGCGGTGAGTCCCCCCCCCAACCCCCCCCATGGCTTTACAGACCTGTGCAACCAGCTGAAATTTGCGGGTGATCGAGCCCAGGTTGGTGCTGGCTGGCCACATCCCAGGAGTTATAGACAATGGCTCAATGTCCAGGTGGAAACTAGTAACAAAGGTCTGTACTAGGACCAGTACTCTTTAATATCTTCATCAATGGCATAATGGGCTTGGCTTTGCAGATGGCACCAGGCTGAGTGGTGCAGTTGAGCTGCTAGAAGGAAGAGATGCCGGCCAGAGGAGCCTTGGCAGGCTTGAGGAGTGGGGCCGTGCAAACCTCGTGAAGTTCAACAAGGCCGAGTGCGTGGTCCTGCACCTGGGCCAACCCCCCAGTGTGAATAGAGGTGAGTGAGAGGAGCCCTGTGGAGAAGGGCTGGGGGGTGATGGTGGGTCACAAATTGGACACGTGTGCTCGCAGCCTGGAAAGCCACCCGTGCCCTGGGCTGCAGCCAGAGCAGGGAGGGCAGCAGGGCCAGGGAGGGGATTCTCCCCCTCTGCTCCGCTCTGGGGAGACCCCCCTGCAGTGCTGGGGCCAGCTCGGGGGCCCCCAACAGCAGAAGGACCCGGAGCTGCTCGAGCGGGGCCAGAGGAGGCCACGGAGATGCTGGGGGGGCTGGAGCAGCTCCCCTGGGGGGCCGGGCTGAGAGAGTTGGGGGGGTTCAGCCTGGAGAAGAGAAGGCTCCGGGGAGCCCTTCGAGCGGCCTCCCAGGGCTTAAAGGGGGGACAGGAGAGGTGGGGGGGGACTCTGGATCAGGGGGTGGGGATGGGATGAGGGGTGACGGGTTTAAACTGGCAGAGGGCAGATTTAGATGAGATGTAAGGCAGAAATTGTTCCCTGTGCGGGGGGTGAGGCGCTGGCCCAGGGTGCCCAGAGCAGCTGTGGCTGCCCCCTCCCTGGAAGGGTTCAAGGCCAGGTTGGACGGGGCTGGGAGCCCCCTGGGCTGGGGGAAGGGGTCCCTGCCCGGGGCAGGGGGGGGCACTGGGGGAGCTTTAAGGTCCCTTCCAACCCGAACCACTCTATGAGTCTATAAAAATAAGCTTGTTCTCACAGCGGTCACGGGCTTTTCAGGGCAGGCTGGCTGAGAGTTTTGAGAGGACACTGATGGAAATCAAGCCAGAAAGTTTTAGTCCTTGTTTCCCAGGGTTGCTTCCCACATCTCACTGAAACCTGGGGAGAAGGGCTGGGACTAGGGAAACCTCTTCCCCTTGGGCAGCTTGGGAAGGGGTTGGGGGAAATCCTGAGTTCTGGAAGGAAAACAGAGGCTGGAAACAACATCCCAAGGGAATTGGGAGGAAAATGAGGCTGTTTAGGGACAAAAAGACAGTCCCTCTCTTCCCTAAGAGAGGCTCACTGGGTCCTTCTGGACGGGAGGAGATGGTTGCGATGGGGAAAAATGAGCCTGTGGGTTTTTGAGGAGGTGGTTTGGGGGGATTTGGCACTGATTTTTTTGATGTGAGTGTGAAAAGCTTCAAAATCTACAGGTTTTGTTGCAGCTGGGGTTGGGGGAGCCTCTTTCCCCCTGCGGTACCGCTTGGCGGTGCTGCTCCCCCCAGTAAGAGCAGCAAAACCTCCCCCCCCTCCGGGGGAGTGGGAAATATTTAACCAGCTGGGTCCACACCAGCCACGTTTTCGCAGGAGAAAGGCAAATCCTGGAAAAGCTTTGAAAAATCTGTTCCCTGAAACAAGCCCGGGCGGTTTTCCGTGGGCGGATGGCAAAGGCATCGTGGGTTCCCCCCCCCCCCCCAAGCCACGATGATCTTTTATACCAGCAAAGCTCTTAAATCTGCAAACATGGGCCCCGTTTCACCTGTACTTGTTTGTGTTTTGTTTTTTTTTTTCCCCCCTTACCCTGCATAAAAATGAATAGCAGCAACAAATCACCTCCGGACAGCTTAATTCCTACCTCTGGGCTTCAATTCTCCCTGTTGCAAAAAGGTTTTTTGCATTCCCCAGAACTGTCACTAATAAAATTCCCTCTGATCTCGGCTCGGGGGTGTGTGTGTGTGTGTGTGTTTTTAAGGAGCAAAATGGGAATTGAGGGAAAGATGTGCAAACCCACCTTGTCTGGGGGGAGGGTGGGAGCACAGGGCAGGTTGTGCCTCCCTGGAT